GCTTGCGTAATACCTATTTATAATATATATAATGTAAATTGCAAAAGATCGATTTCTCTAAAATCATCCTATATAGTCGATAGTTACCAATAAGTAATTACATCAAAATGAAAAGCAATGCTACAATCTAATTTTGGAATAAACAATCACTTTCTTTTGTTTTGAAATTTGGAGTTTTTGTAGAAAAAATGTAGATGATAAGCAAATTATTTGAAAAATAATTATATTTATGTTTTATTATTTTATTTTTAAGTTTAAAAATATGAATTTTGAAATGAAAAAAGAAGCATTAGTGGATTCGATTGGTTAATTGTCTGATTAGTTGCTTAAACTACAACCAATCCAACCCAACTTTTTGATAGTTAAAATTAACAAAAACAAATCGAATTTTTTGTTCAAATCGACCCGATTCGACTTGGTTTGCTCGGTTTAATTAGTTTTTCAGTTTTTTTGTCCACCCCTAATTGGAATTTGTGTTTCTTTTTCATTCTTTCATATTCTATGTTATTGTATTGGCATTTTTTTAGGTTTATTAGTACAAAACGTCCATACGTTTGGTCGTTGGTGTGCAAAACGTTTCTACGTTTTAAATTTTTGCATTTTCATCTCTATTTTCATGTTTTATTATGGAAAACGTCATTTTCATTAATTTTTTCGTCCAAGTTCTCACTTAAAAATCGTATAATAACAAATATACCATCATGTTTAAATAAACAAAACGAAAATAAACATAAACATAAAGAATAAATTGTAATCAGTCCCAATTTTTTTAAAAAAGTACAAATAAGTCCAAAATAAATTAAATTAAAAAATCAAAGAAGAAGAAGAAGATTTTTCTTGGGTCCATCACTCCCATACACAGACGCCACTCCTCCCTCACTCTACCCACCCATCCCACATATAACCCCAGACCCAAACCCATTCATACAAAAACTCCATCACTAGGAATGTCGGCCTCCTCTACCCAAATGGACAAGAATTAATCCAAGTGTACAGAAATGACGTTCACAGAGGTCTTACCGACCTCTCACATGAGGTGGATCCCACATTGGACCAACCTGATTAAAAAATGGTTCAAATTTTTTCACACCCTCCCGTTGTGAGTTGTCGTAGAGGTGCTGTGAAGTAGAACGTTTGTACATGAAGCACGGTTGAATGGACCATGCGATCTGGCACGCCACTGTCAACGCCTCCATATCCCCGCTGTCAATTTCTGTGTGCACTATTTCCCTTAAGGCCACCTAGAACACTCCTCGCTGATCAAAAATTACAACATTTTGCTCAAAACCCTTTTGATTTCCTGCCAAGTCCTCGCCATATCCTTCCTTTCGGATCCCTCATCTGACCAACCATTCGCCAAAATTCGTCTCCTTCCCCTCCAATCACGTAGGCTGCACGTGGAAACGGAGAATGTTGAGAAAAGGGATATGGATGATAGTGATGTTTCGTTTCATTTGCTACGATTTCCCAATTATTCAAATTCAATTCCTCGGTCAATGTATGATCTCGTCAACAGCATCCAAGTAATCCCCACTCACTGAAGACAAATTTACCCCATTGAAAATGATCTTCTCAGTGGCCTCAAATCGCAGGTCATCGGAATGTGGGTCCTCGTCGGAGACAAAGTCAGAGAGATTGGAGAGGCAGTTGTCGAAGGCGGAGAGAATCAGTAACATATCATCGATGTCTGAACTATTGTTAAGGCTTTGAACGATCCTTTGTATAGTGGCCAAAACTTTATCTTGTCCTTCTACAGTTATTGCCATTGCTGTCTCCTTCTCTATTTGAAAATGAAGTTCGGTGGTAAATTAGGGTTAGAGATTTGGGACTTTCTGGAGGCGAAAATTCAAGTATTCAAGCGGCTGGCTTCCATTTTGGGAGTGATGAACCAAAGAAAAATCATCTTCTTCTTTCCACAGGGAAGGAAAGAAGAACATGTTTTTTCTTTTCTTTTTGATATTTTAATTTAATTAATTTGGAAATCTTTGTATTTTCTTGAAAAAAATTGGGAGTATGATTACAATTTGTTCTTTATTTTTCTTTTCTTTTCTCGATATTTTATTTAAATACGAAGATATATCATATATTTGTCATTTTACAATTTTTAATTGAAAATTTGGATAATAATTGATGAAAATGACATTTTCCACAATGAAACATAGATAGGAGTGAAAATGTAAAAAATTGAAACATAGAAACATTTTGCACACTAAAGGCCAAACATAGAAACATTTTATACTAATAAGCCTTTTTATTATGTGAAGCAAGGGTATAATAGTCATTTTAATACACAATTTAACTTTTTAACTGTCAATTAACAATTTTCGTCCCTAGGGATCTCAACATTCTTAAATAGGTTGAAGACCCGTAACCTCTCTTCTGAAGGTTGGGGATCAATATCCATGCAGACAAAGGTGGGGAATTCCAGCCATAATTTTCCAAAAGCTAGTTTATACTGATAAAATTTGCTTTGATTCCCACAAAAATGATTTTCTTTTCTTCTCCTTTTTCTTTTTCTTTCTTTGAAAAAAAAAAACGAGTTGAATTTGGAATTACTACCAGCAATTCAAGTGTGTAGCCTCATTCAATATAGACCTCAGCACAAGGTTTTGGGTCAATCAAGTTCTAATCAAGTACAAACCCTTGTTCCAAAATAACAATAATTAACCCGAATAGATTAACAGACAATAAACTGATTTTGATCGGTTCGAGCGGGTTTAACCAGTTTGTAAAATGATGGAGTAGCCTGAACAGGCTTGATAGTCAGTCCGGTCCGGTTTGATAACTATGGTATGGACTATTAGGAAAAGCAAGGAATCAATCATGTATAGTTCATTGTAGATGAAGAAAAACCAACATTTCATTGCTAAATAATTTGAATACAAGCTCAGTTGAGAGGCAGTTTAACTTATCAAGTTGCATTTACAAGACTAAAAACATCCAATCGATTTTTAAACCAAAGCACACAGTTTTAAGTGTGACTACAGAGTTAAAAAACAAGATTTTAGCTCATTTCTCTTTCTGAACATTGTCCAGTATAACCCATTTAACCCGACCAAACATGTCATAAAGAGCTATAATAAATAAGGATTTGTGTTCCTCATTTCTTCGCCTTTGCGAACCTAAGGCAACGATACTTCTCACCGCTTACTGTTATTTCAAGAGCTCCATCTTGATTATCTTGATTTGAAGCGGTTCCCATAAGCACACTTTTCTCTTTCTCGAGATTCTCTCTTTCAATCTTTAGACGTGCTTCTTGCCTAGCAATCTCACCCTAAATTACGACAATGTCACACTAAGAAATCACAACGTGAACAGAAAATAGATAACAGTATATAAAGAGCAAAACTAAAAATTTGTAACAAATAGATAACACCAACCTACATGTCGAAACAAAGACTCAGAACAATTCCAATCATTTTCTTTTTGACAAATAATAGCCATTGAAAATAAAACCACAAAAAAGAGTTATTTCTCATTTGGCTACTGATTTTCGTCAGAGGATTATAAGGAAGGTTCTAATCATTTTCTTTTTGACAAATAATAGCCATTGAAAATAAAACCACAAAAAAGAGTTATTTCTCATTTGGCTACTGATTTTCGTCAGAGGATTATAAGGAAGGTGTTTATGTATTTCTTCAACAGCCTTTCACAGCCATGTGACCATGGGTAAGACCAAATGCAGGAAGTTAAATTAGGTGGCTTAATACATATAAATAGGTTTTAGAACGTGTTTGGCTAAGCTTAACAGTTACGTTTAAGTAACTATTTTCAAAACACGTTTAGTCAAACATGCTCTTAGTTCCAAGTTCTGCCAGTAGCACCCAATCGAGCTATAAAAAAAAAGTGAAGAAATTCGATATCCAAAAGACTTGGGTTGCAAACAGACACGGAAGAATTAGGGCTCCGGAAGTCCAATTCGGGAAAGATGTAATAGGTAACATGGGGACAGGCAAGTCTGTTAAGGGAAGGGAAATTTGCAAAGGGGTAATAGTTGAGTTGCAGGGGTTGAAAATTGTGGAAAATTTCTAGCCATTGGAGCTGGGCAGTACCCATGAGTGCTAGGAATGCAGTGGCCTGGTAGTTTGGGAGATATGGAGTTGAACTGGAAGCGATTTAACCATGCGATTTAGAATGGGAGAGACATCGTTTACATTGCAAGGAGACACAGGGCTTCACAAGACAAGTGTCCCTTAAAAACTGGTAAAAGTCATACAACAAGAGGGTGGAGGAGCGTGGGTCAAACTGGGAAGCCAACTATTTCCACCCCATCTCGATGCAAATTTAGAATGGAAAGTGGAACCTGATCAAGTCTTGGGAGAACATCCAGGAGGTGAAGTATCGATAAAATGGAAAGATCGTCCTACAGTCGAGGCTTCCTATAAAGCAGTTGATTCTATTCTGCAACACTTCCCCAACTTCCGCCTTGAGGACAAGGTGTCATTGGAACCCAGGGGATATGATAGGCCCCCAAATCCATTTCACATATTCTAGAAGGGAAAGGAAGAATGCCTTGCAAGTGGAGGCAAAGGGAAAACTGCATTCAGTTGTGCAGAATAGTGGCTAATCAAAATCAGTTCTATAAGTAAGAGTAGTAAGGGAGGGATAGGTAGGCAATACTTGAGCGACTAGAAGAGAGTCTTGTTTACTTTCCTGTATGTAATTCTCTCAGTAATTTCCTGTTTCTCTGATTTTATTAGTGGAGTCCTATCAGACACCTCTCAAATCAGTTATATGAAGAATGGTACCTATGCTGATGATCTAGAAAAAGAATGGCACACAAAAAATTCTCAGGACGAAGTATGAATTAGGCGAAAAAAGAAAATGTAAACTACTAGCAGCGTCCCCATGATCAAATGCCCAAAAACTTTTCCATGTAAAAATATATCAACTAACTCTTCAACTAAAGACCTAATTTCTGTACTTACACGATCTCTTGAAATAGATGGATTTGCAAAGCATCATAAAGGTGAGAATAAGAATGTTACTTATTATATCATAGCATCAGGCAATGACTTACAACCAGCAATCAGATAATCTTCTGCAAAAATATTATATTACATTTTTAAATTATCCCCCTGTTGAGCCACATTAAAATTTTCATTTTCATTCTTCTATTCATTTTTAACCACACATTGTTCAATAAAATAATATTTTCCATCACATCAATAACTTTTCCTTCTTTTTCAACCACACATTCTCCATCAATCTACTTTTCCAAAATACATTTTTCCAAAACAATGTGGCTCAAACACGCCATATATATAAATATTAACAGCTTATCTCATCTGTTAAAGATAATAAAAATATTTACATGTTATAGTGATACTGAGATATTTTTCATAATTCGTTAATTTGTGCAACTAGTATTGCATTCTATGTTGCTCAGACTCTTCAAAAAATGGAGAAGTAACCGTGTCGACACGACATGACACAGATACTGACACAGGATATGGGTCGGATACTTGGTCTTGCACTCGGACAAGGCATGGAGAAGACAGTGGACGGCGGAAGAAAAGGGCTTTTATTTCGAGTCTTGTAGTAGCAGGTAGAAAGGGGAAGATTATGGAGAAGAAGAAAGCGCAACAAGTGCATGACAACAGGCAGAAAGGGAAAGATGATGGAGAAGAAGCAAGCGCACTGGAGACGATAGGTTTAGGGGTTTTAAATGGGCTTTTATCAAGTCCAATGAATAAGTTAGATTTAGTCCTTTTGGTTGGTGTTAAATGGGTTTTTGTCATACCCAATGAATAAGTTAATGATAGAGGAAATTAGGTGGTTTCAAAAGTACTAACAAAAATTGGGAATTGTCTCTGCCAAATTGTATAATTTATTGTAAGTGGCGTGAGTTATTGTTTTATTTAAGATAATATTAATTTAATATTTAATTCTAAATTTGTTTGATTCAATAGTTCAAGTTACACTTATCCATTTCAAGTGAAAAACTTCTTGCTTTTTATGTTATGACAATTTGGATGTTTTAACTTTATTTTGAACTGTGTTTTGTTTGAATTTGGATTTGGATTTTATCATTAAATTAAATATTTGTATTGCAGTAATTTGTTGTTTTGCTTTAATATTGTAAATGTTTGCTTTAATTGAATCATTTTTTAGAAAACAAAATAATAATAATAATGATGATGACGATAAATTGTAAGACGTGTCCCCGTACCTTTATCCAAAATTCGGATCTTTTTTAACCGTATCCCCGTATCTTAATTTTTAAAATGAGAAAGATCCGAATCCTGGATATGTACCCATATCCGACACCCACACCCGAGTCCGAGCAACATAGATTACATTTTTCCCCATTATGGTTATTTGTATCACTATGAATTGGATCATTCTCTTTGTAATTCTTACACAGAAAATTTATATAAGTTTTCACATTCCTTTCATAGTTCTATCTCAACCACTTCAGTTCACAGTTCTTAACATCCTCAAACTCTTATTTCCATTTTACTAATACAACTGTAACGCAGGTACCTCACGGCGAGAGAGTTCAGCCTTCCAGGCTGCTTCGCGCTCAGCAACTTCGCGTTCACGCTCCTCAATGTAACTCTGCATCTCCCTTTCCTTCATAATTCTGTCCTGTATGTCTGCATCCAGGGCCTCCTTCAGCTCCTGCACAAATTTATCTACAACCGTCTTTATTCTCAGCGACATCAATTTGTGTCCTTCACAAATCAATAATGTGTTTTTTGAAGCCGTAAAATCACTCACTCACACCTTCTTCTCCCCAAACGATGCTACCTGCGGCCCAATAACTTCACTTAGATCTCGTTTGGCTAAGCTCAAAAGCAAAAAAAGGCTTCTTTTTTGTTTTCTATAAAAAGAGCAAGGCCAAACATGCTCTTGGTTTTTAATAGTATTAGAATTATTTTTGAAGTGGGCTGTCAAAAAAAAAAAAAAATCAAATCATGAAAAAGGTTTCCAGATTGGCCATCAAAAGAACCCAGAAATAAAGCAACAAAAAAGACACAAAATTCCGGAAATTATAAGGAAGTGACTAAAAATTTGGATCAGAATTTAAGCAAATTCCTTAGGTAGGTTGATATTCTTTCGAATTCTTGCTTCTTAAACTCAAAAATTAAACAATAATATCTCACTTTCAACAGGAAAAATATAAACAGATGAATTTTGCTATCAAATTTGTACGTAAACAATCCCATATAACGGAATAAAGAAAGAGCATACCAGTACGAGATTAATAGATAAATCAAAGAAGGTAATTATACCAGCCCCCACAGAAAGACATGGTTCTTGAAAAATTGTAACTGGGAACCAAAATTGAGGAGAATATTTGGGGAGGTGAGGTGAGTTAGGGTAGGGATGGGAAAGTGCAATCTGCAAGTCCACAAACCCAAAAACGAACGCAACCAACGGGCGTATTCTTTTCTTTTGTTTGTTTCTGGGATGTTATTTACGTGCGTATTTTTTGCGACACAAAAACTATTCGAATTAGCTTAACAAGTTCACTTATAAATAAATATATGTTATGAAATAAAAATAATAGAACAAGAAGATAAGAAAAAATAAGAGTTNGGAAAAAGAGTACAGTTATTTTGGAGTATTATAGATAAATGTAGCCTCATTAAAACTTTGTTAGGAAAATTCAGTGAGATAAAACCTAAGCGAAGAAAAAAGAGTACAACTACTCTCCCTAATGTTGATCACTGAAAATCTTTGAGTCGACGAATTCTAATCTTGTAAACCAATTTCTTAAATGTAGATATTGACAGGGCTTTTGAAAATAAATCAGCCACATTGTCATTTGAACGAATTTGTTGACCATTGATGTCGTAATTCTCTGAAGCTCATGTGTATGAAATTTTTTGAAGAAATATACTTAGTCATGTCACATTTGATATAATCTCATTTGAGTTGTGCAATACAAGAAGCATTGTCTTCATAAAAAATTATTGAAGTATCTTTTGTTGAAATTAATTGGCATGATGCTTGGATATGATGTGTCATATTTCTCAACCATACATATTCTCGGTCTGCTTTACGGATTGCAATAATTTCATAATGATTTGAGGACATTGCTGTCAATGATTGCTTTAGAGATCTTCATGATATAGCTATTACTCCACGTGTAAACACGTATTCCGTTTGTGATTTAGCTTTATGTGAGTCGAATAGATAACCTGCATCCGCATATCCCATTAAAGCAAATCCCGACTTTTGAGATTAAAATAATTTCAAATCAATAGTACCATTTAGGTAACGAAAAATATATTTAACACATTTCCAAAGTCTTTGTGTTGGTGTAGAGCTATATTCTGCAATGAGATTTACAGAAAATGCTATGTCAGGTCGAGTACAGTTTGCAAGATAAGTTAATGATCAAATTGCACTAAGATATGGTACTTTAGGACTAAGAACATTTTCTCCATCTTTCAGTGGACGAAAATGATCCATTTTCACATCAAGTGATCGAACAACTATAGGTGATACCGATGGATGCACATTATCCATATAAAAGCGTTTTAAGACTTTTTCCGTATATATAAATAATCCTTTTGAGAAATATTCAATCTGCAACCTTAATTTGATTTTTCCCAAATCTTTCATCTCAAATTCATTTTTCAAATAATTTGTAGTTTTGTTGTGCTATTCATAAGTTCCAATTAAATTTAAATCATCAACATAAACTGACACAATTGCAAATTCAATATTTGTTTTCTTTATGAAAACACATGCGCATAATCGTCATTTTTATAGCATTTATTTAAATCATCAACATAAACTGCCATAATTGCAAATTCAATATTTGTTTTCTTTATAAAAACATATGGGCAGATATCGTCATGTTATAGCATTCCTTCAACAAACATTCATTGAGTCAATTATACCACGTGCGATACCATATGCGTTCGGATTGTTTCAATCCATATAATGATCTTTAAAATTTAATTGAGAATTCGGGCATATATCATTTGTTTCTCGCACTATAAGTCATTCAGAGACTTTCATATATATGCCACTATCAAGTGAACCATACAAATAGGTAATCACTACATCCATAAGGCACATATTGAGCCTTTGTGACATAGTCAAACTAATTAAGAATTTAAAAGTGATGTGTCCATTACGGGAGAATATATTTCCTCACAATCAATTCCTGATCTTTGTGAGAAATCTTAAGTTGCGAGTCAGGCTTTATATCTTGTAATTTCATTATTTTCATTTCTCTTTCGTAAAAAACCCATTGTATCAACAGGGGTTACATTTTCAGATTTTCGCACTACATGTCCAAACACTTTTCGTTTCTCTAAGAAATTCAATTCCGCATGCATAACTTCTTTTCACTTGGCCAATCATTTCTATATTGACAGTCTTTAACAGACTGTGAGTATCCTCATTACGCATAATATCAAGAGCCACGTTAAAGGCAAAAATATTATCTATAACAACATTATTCTATTCCCATAATTTATGAGATAACATATAATTTATTGAAATGTCATTATTTGACACTTGTAGTTATTCAGAAACCATATTTTCAATAATTGATTGATCGATCTTTTCTAATGTTACTTCTTATGAAGTTTTTGGTTGATTTTTCTCTTATACTTTTCTTTTTCGAGATATAAAGTCTTTTGAACCAACTGGTCGACCTGCTTCAGGCGTATTTGAGATTCATTTGCTACCGCAAATTATCCTGCAGGGACATCAATTTTTGCTGGAATATTTTCTGCTGGTATATATGATTTTGTCATTTTTATTCTGTCAACAAATACATCTGGTAATTGATTTGCAACTCTTTGCAAATGAATGATTTTTTCAACATCTTGCTCAATTTGACTGTTGTGGGAATCAAAGTGAGATAGAGTGGAAAAAGTTTTTTCCAACATATTTTCATCAGTGATTTTTTCTCCACACAAGATTAATTTTGAACACATTTTGAATAGTTCAGAATTGTATCCACTAACAGTTTTAAAGTCTTGCAAATGAATGTGCATCCATTCAGGCTTTGGGGAAGACTATAGTTTTTTGATGATCAAATATTTCAATTAATTTTTTCCAAAGAACCTAGGGGTGTCAACGAGTAGAGTCGAAACTCGAAGCTCGGGCTCGGCTTGAATAAAAATGGTTCGGGATTTTTTTGTCCGAGCTGAGCTTTTGCTCAGCCAAAATTTTAAGCTCGACCCCAGTTTTCGGCTCAGGCATTTACGAGCCGAGTCGGGCTCGATTTGTTTTTAATATTAATTCGTGACTGCTGCCTACAATAGACATTAATCACAATTGCCTGCAACAATAGACATTAGTCACAGCTGCTTGCGTTTTGCAGGTAGCTGTAATTATTTATTATTTATTAACTTTTGTAGAAAAAATATTTGGCTCGACTCGTCAAAGGTCGAAAATGGCCCGTAATATGGGCTGGCTCGGGTTTGAGGGACACCCCAAAATGGGGCTAGGTAGAAACATGTGCTACATCGGTAGTACGTTTTTAAATAAGTTACGTATTTTCCTTCAGGGACAAATACTAATTTAAAATAATATGTTTTTCGAAAATCGAAACATGTGATACATCGATAGTACGTTGTATTTTACTATTACTTCTTTAAGAGAAATATGTCAAAATTCTTTTGAAATATTGACAAATATAATTAATGTTATTCAGGAGCAAGTAATATTCTTTTAAAATATTAATTATAATGTTATGCTACTTTAGGAGTAGTAGCAAACTATTTATAAAAGACAGATTTATGATTAATATTCTTCTGGAATATTAATTATAATGTTGTGTTATTCAGGAGCAACAACATGATAAATTATTAATCTAAGGTGTTGTCACGTATTTTCTGTAACGTGAACCACAAGTGTATGGTGTCAAGTTTTGTAATATAATAATGGAGTTAGAGTGTTGAACCCATAGGAATTGTAATTCAAATTTCTACTAAGTACTATAATTATATAACCTCTATTTTATTTAGATGAATGGATGTTATAATCAATGTTTTTAAACTAATATGGTGACGAATTCAACAAATAAATGCAAGCTAGAATAATAATCAAGTGAGAAAGCATACTGTTATGATTTCACCAAACTATCAAATATGATTATCAATTATAAAATTATTTCTAATCAGTTTTCCAAAGTGATGTGAGCACGAAGTCGAGTGCGTTAAAGTCAAGCCTAGGAAAGGATCCATTGATTATCGAAGGAGATCCGATGACACGCTCAAGAGCAAAGTGGGTGAAAGAGGTGATGGGATTGCTGGCTCAAGTTACGGTGGAGAAACGTTGATCACGACAAACAAAGAAACAAGTTTTGTATTGAGCTTGGGAGAAGAAACCAAATGGATAAACATGATTCAAGCAATGGACGAGGAAACATAGTTCATTCTAGTCGCGAATTTTTCCTAATTTCGCGTAATCTTCTATTTAAGTTAATACTCTATTTTGTAATATCTTTTACTATTTTTTTGGTTTGATTCCCTTTTTAACTAGGTTTTATGGGTTCTCTATAAATATGATTTATTCTTTTCACTGTAACATTATTATTGAGATTTATTGAGGCAAATTTACTTTCGAATTCTTGTTCATCGTTGGACAAATCAAGAATTTATCAAGATTCTTCTTGTGGCGTTCAAATCAATCGGGTGATATTCTCAAATATTCAATCAAAAGGGTCAACATATCATTTGAGTATTATTGGTTATTTTGATTCGTTATTTTCGAATCAAATCCAAACATTTGATTACTTTGGTTTTCTTGGGTTCGATTTCAATCTAATCATGGGTTTTGTAATTCTTCGTTATGTGGGTTCACATCGGTTGGTATCAGAGTTTAGGCTACAAAATTAAGACTATATCATTTTCCTTTTTCGTTTGAGTCTTTATTTCATTTTTCTTGCGTTCTTTTTTATTTAAATCTTTTGATCTGTAATTTTTTCGTAAAAAATTCAAAAGTTATTTTTGTGCTCATTTTGTGTTTAAATCAACTTCCATTTTCTTTGTCGGCGCTATAGTTGAATTCTAAGTAAAAAAAATTCGGAAATTTTTTTTTCGAAAATTTAGAAAATTCCGTGCAAAGTCAAATTTAAAAAAATATATATTTGTTATTATTTATCTCGAAAATTGTCGGTCAATTACGTTATGTATTGTGTAAAATTCAAGAACCATTTTCTTGGATTCAAATTTCATTCCAATTATTCAATTCAATTCCTTTTCTTTCTTGAGTTTTCAAAATTTCCAAAATCTCACTCAAAACCTCAATTTGAATTCTACGAGAATAATTCATGGTTGAGTTCGAATTTGTCATTTGAAGCACTTGGACGAAAGCATTGAGTGGAAAAAGGTAGAGTTGAGATGAATAGAGGGAAAAAACCGAATTGAGTGATACACGAGCGCACATTTGTGAGGCATAAATAAATTTTAGAATTTAGGATGTTTGATAGGGAATGATCACCACCAGACAGAAACAACAATCAAACCACCATGTCGGATGCGATCACACGTAGGTTTGCACGGTTATTTGAAGACACGACACGGAGCTTGCCACCTTGCGATTGATAGGGAATGATCAACACCAGATAGAAACAACAATCAAACCAACATGTCGGATGCGATCACACGTAGGTTTGAACGGTTATTTGAAGACAAGACACGGAGCTTGCCAACTTGCGTATAGGAGTTCCAAATATACGGAGACAGAGTAGGCAGAAACCTAGGATGGAGGTGCCTGAAGAATATGATTATGGGAGTGATGTAGATGAGGAGACAGTAATCGAGGCTGAAATGGGTAGAATCAGAAATAGACAAGCTAGGCTTGAACGAAGGGGTAGAAACTTGGTTGGAGATGAGGTAGATGGAAATATGGACAACATAAAAATGTCCATTCCACCATTCAAAGGAAAGAGTGATCCGGAGACTTACTTAGAGTCAGAGAAAAATGTTGAATTGATCTTTGACTGCCACAACTATTCAGAGGAGAAGATAGCGGTCCTTGAATTCACTAACTATGCAATCACTTGGTGGGATCAAATGGTGACAACGAGGAAAAGAAATAGGAAACGACTGATCAATACATGGGAGGACTTGAAAGCTATCATGCGGAAGAGGTTTGTACCTAATCACTACTACCGATAGCTTCATCAAAAACTACAAAACCTCTACCAAGGATTGAAGAGTGTGGAGGACTATCACAAGGA